TTTTTTTTTTTTTTTTTTTGTAAATTTGTTTTGATTATCGTTGATGAATCGCATTTAGCCAATGACGCAAAATGCTGCCTTGATGCCGATTTAGTTGCTATCAGCTGCTTGCTGCTGCGTCGGCGCTACTACACTTCAATGCCAATCGANTTTTTTTTTTTTTTTTTGTAAATTTGGTTTGATTATCGTTGATGAATCGCATTTTGCCAATGACGCAAAATGCTGCCTTGATGCCGATTTAGTTGCTATCTGCTGCTTGCTGCTGCGTCGGCGCTACTCCACTTCAATGCCAATCAAATAAGACTTACCAAATAGGCGACAAATGGTGAGCACAGCAGATATAGCCATAAATAGAGGTGGACTACATTACAGAAGACGCCCTGATGCGGATCGTAGAACCAGCCACCGGTCAGCGAGGCCCACACGCCCTGGCGTAATATCTCTAAGGTTTGTGAACCCATGGCAAGCTAACAGACATCTCCTATACAGCCTGCTGCCAAAGTGCAGTGGCGGCGACAGCGGCGTACACCTTGCGCGTGCAAAACAATATACACACGTACATGCGAAAGCGTGCGATGGCTGTGAATGGGATGGGTAATCTGATGCTGGTACGACGTAGTGTTCTCTGAACGTGTGGTTACGACAAAGGTGCGCAGCGCCGGCAGGGTTTCGGGACTGGTACGGGTTGTGGGATCTGATTGACGACGTTGCAAAGAGGCACAACACGATGCTGGTGTCGAGGACGAGTACTCAGTGAAGTGATTGGGCTTACCTTGAAGTTTTCACGGGCAAAAATGGAATGCGTTAAACGCGCAATTGCAATGTAGTTTTTTTGCTGTACAATGGAAACATGAAGCGTATGTGATTTTTTAACTGCAATCGAAATTCCAACGGCTGACCACCCACCGCTTACGTTTTTTTTCCACAATCAAAAATTTGGTTTGCCCCAACTGCACTCTAATGTAAGGTGAACCTTTCATAAGTACTACTTCGCCACTTGCTTCCTTATTTTTTGCAGTTTTCACTTCATTGCCTGGAAAAAATTTCAGCACTAACTTTTTTATTGTGTGGCCTTTACTTGCTACACATTTTCCCGTACGTTGCTGCGTTTTCTTCACTTATGTATTTTTTTCTACTTTGCACTTACGGATGCAGCTGCTCCTTCAAGGTTTCAGCTTATTTTTTATCACTTTTTGCACTTTGATCCATATCTATAGCGATTTCCGATACGCAAGTGGATGATATCAATGATCAATTAATTGATTGGGCAATTAATTGCTGAACTCAATTGAAAGATTTTGATTTTTTCGCGTGAAAATTTCTTTTATTTTCTTCGAATAAATGAAATGTCAAAATCAGTCCGGAACTGCACTACCAGCCGCTGTTGTGCGCTGCTATGCCGACTTTGTTGCGATTTTTCCATTTAGCTGTCATCCTAATCGGTTTTGGATTCGGGACGAAACGCACTACCGGAATCGTTTTGGGACAATACCGAATTGCGTGCGGGAAAATGGTACGAAATTCATTTCTTCTTAAAAACAATTTTTACTTTTAAAATTACGGATAAAAATATTTAAGAAATCCATAAAACAAAGAATAAGTAAAAAATTAGATAGTTTTAACTAAAAAAGACTTGTAACTAAAAAATATGTTTTCATATATAAATTAATTAAGTTTCAATGGAATATCTGTCAAAAAAGCTCCAACTAACTTTAGAGTCGACTTTTTTTTACAAAAGGCCATTATGCCGCTCTCAATAAAACTGTTAAGAAAAAAATTGTCATTATTAGGCCAGTATGCAGCTCTCAAGAAAACGGCCAAGAACAAGTGTACAAGGAATTTTGACATCTGATACTTAACAGCCTGCGACAGCCTCTTGCCTCACTGTTTCCTAAATAAATAATGGAAGGGGCATATATTTCTGTTGCAAAAACGGGTTGCCTTGTGCTCTTTTTTTTACAAAATCTTTAGAAAGTCGCAGTAGAAAGCGTAGCAAACTTCTTAAAAACTGCGTACTGCCTTATACGGTGTTCACATGAGGCGAATTTCCAAGCAATCTTAGAGGCGATTAAATAAATCAAATGTTGGTTGCCTCCCAACTTCACCGTATTAAGGAAAGCTTACTCAAGCAAATTTCTTAGCCATTTCTTGTATGTCATTTTATAAGGTGTTTTTGCTTTCTTGAGAGCTGAATACTGGCCTTAAAGAATTAAATTAAATGTCAAAGTCAGAGCCAATGATGCTGCTTCTTCACATGGTTCAAAACTGTCGTTCAAAATGGTGCTGATAGCTGCTTGTTCTTCATTAGAAATGGATTACAATAGTGTAAAACGTAAATTACATGAGGTATGAATAGGTATGCAATTGATTTGAGAGAATTAATTTTTTTCCTAAAAATTATTTTTTATTAACAAAACCTTACAACAACGAATAAGTGAAGAAATTAAATGTATTTAACTTAAATATATTTTTTATAAAAATATTTAAATAGCAAAACTGTAATATAAAACATAATTATCCTATCGAATTACACACTTTTCTTTTTTAAACATTAATTTGAGGTTCAGAAATTTTATAAAACTATATCTATAAACAATTTTGTACTAAAAATATTTTTCGTGCATCGTTAGCCAAAGTTTTTAATACCTTAAAATTTTATTAATTAAAATATTTTAAACCTACATCACTGCTCATGGCTCTCCTGGACGCTCTTCGCTTCCCTTTTTTCACATTCAACTCTCGTGGCTCTCCTCTTTGTGCTCATATTGATGGTGGTGGTGTATATGCTCTTCCTCCTCTTCTATAATTGGATGCACATGCTCGTGCTTCTCCTCGTGATGATGCTTATGTTCGTGAGAGATATGTTCCTTGTGTATGATCGGATGATGTTCCTCGTGTATGACTTTCTCTTCCTTGATGACAATCGGTTTGTGATGGTGATGTATATGCTTGATCACGGTGTGCGTGTGCTTTTCAACTTTCTTGTGAACTGGCACGTGAATAGTGATCTTCTTCTTTTTGTGCTGACTGCTGAGGAGTTGGAAAGAGCGAAATAAGAGAGAAATGAGTATAAAAACGGAACGGAGAAAATAAACGCAATTTATATTCAGAATTCAACGAAAAAACAAGGGAGTAGCTTAATTGATGGAGAGGGCAAGTTATAAGTGAGAGTATTTGAGCTCAAAATTCGTGAGTTTGTGTGTGAATGATCCAAAGAGTGAGCGAACGAGTTACTAAGTGAAGTAGAGGACGTGTGAGTGAGTAAATTAGTTAGTGAGTGAGTCAGAGTGCCAATGAGTGGTTTTTCGGGTATGTCTGCGACCTCCAAATTGTCAGCAAATGAAGTGAGTAAATTTCTTGGGAAAACCGCACGCTTTCAAGAGGTCCTCCATTTAACCAACTTCCATTCCCCCGCACTCACCCGGCATCCGCGCTTTGTGTGCAAAACAAAAGGAGCAACACGCCTACTAAGATGATCACTTTGAGAAGCTGCAGGGAAAAGATTTCGAGGCAGAAATTAGTATTTTTTTTTCTATGGGATCGGATATCCCATCGAAAGTTCTCCACTCACCAAGCGTTTTCGATTCATTTTCTTTTCTAAAACTGTAACACTTGCACGAACAGGAAGAAGAAATTTATTTCGCCTTTTGCACGCCCGCCGGTGATACGCACACTTTGCAATGAGACTATGAAATGAGTGTTGCCCCAATTGGCTAAGAGACTTTTATAACATGCAAACAGCAATGCGGATAATTTCGAATAACGGTGAAGCACATAGCGGGACGACAGGGGGCTGCTTCTAAAGTGGAACGCCAGAAAACATGGAATTCGGACGATTTTCGCTTCCTTCACACAACTTGCATGCAATGGAAACGCCAGCGCGCGCGTGTGTGTGTGAAGCTTTGGCGCCAGCACTAACAGCTGTTGGCTTACAACGTAATCATTGCGGCGCATGCGCAGCCGAGCGAAACAGTGCTATGGGAGCTGTGGTAATAAAGAAAAAAAAAAAAACGCAACGACGCTGGTGGGTGTATTTCGAGCTGCGAATTTTCACATTTTTGCTGGGCTTATCATTTTTTTGCAATTTGGAAAATTATCTTCTTTTATTTAATTTCCCTGCGCACAACTAATGTTGGTTTTTAAATTCACTACTTCATATAAATGCGTTTTTCTTGTTTTTTTTTTGTTTGGTTTTTCTTTTTCGTTTTTTTCCTTTTATCTTTCCAAGCGGAAGCCTATAAGCCTAGCTGAAAGTCAGTCAGCGGAAGTGCTTTTTGTTAAATAATTAAATTAAATTGTAAACGGAACAAAAAATTATCAAAAGACGCAAAAAGACGAAAAAAAAAAAAAAAAAACACAGAAAAGGGGCGGCATGCAGTAAGTTTGTAGCTGCGAATATTTAACACCAAATTTAATATTTAGTGTAGCAATAACAGACAAACTAATGGTAATTAATCGAAAAACATTTTGCATTTTGTCGACAATTTTGTTAGTGTCTGAATATGACTTAAATATGTTTCATTAATTATGAAATAAAAGCTAAATCAAGCTGCAATGGGGCAAGTTTCTCGAACACTGGAAAGAAAAGAGAAAAAAGTTCCAGTCCGTTAGTGCTACACTGGCTTTAGAAAAAAAGACGAATTATCTGTGGAAGGCTGAGAAGTTAGGGTCCATAAAAACTGGTCAGGGCAAAAAATAAACTCCTACTCAAATTTGTACTCGCACACTTGCGTTCGGAATTCTTTCTTTTTTGGTTTTTTTTTTTGTATTCGCAAACGTCTTCGCATCAAATGTAAGTGGTGTTGGTCGGCCAAGAGAGCTGAAATGTATATCGAGCCCTAACCGTCAAGAAAATGTAACGCAGATGCTCTAGCAACATCGCTGCATCAAAAAAAACATTTTGAAAAACACGTCGTTTACATCTTTATGGTAAATTTTTTTTTTCTCACTTCCCCATTTCTTTTAATTTCAACCGCAACAAATATTAAATTAATCTCTTATAAAAATTTTTCTACAGCCACTTAGATTCATTGCTCGTTTATTACGCCAAGCAATAGCATCAATTTCAAGGTTAAGTAATCGCATTACACACATGCACAGATGCACTTGTACTCATATGAAATGTGGCACAAGTACTCAAACACTGCAGTAACGAGCGCAAGTTTGCGTCTTAAGTCTTTTGTTTACATCTCTCAAAAAACTGCTGGTAATGGCAGAGAGAAAGGCCAACTTCCAAAAAAATATTCAACACCCTACCAGCTTTATCGCTCACTGCGGCCATGTACGTACTACAATAATTGTGTGCGCAAATGGTGTACAAGAAAAAAATAACCAAAAAAAAAACACAAAAATTAAAATCTCATATTTTCCAAGCATCAACAAATTGGCGTTCATTCAATTACTTGTTGGCTGGCGAGAATAATTAGCCTTACAAACGTCTACTAACAGCTACTGAAACTCTATGGGAGAACGATGCAGCAAGGTGAAGAGAAAAAATGTGAAAGAAATAAATCTACTGCTGTTGCGTGCAACAATGCCGCTATACACTTCATTGAGTTCTTCTTGGCGAAACTGGCGATTGTAGTACAAAATGTTTGGGTAGACGTACGGGTAGATGGACAGACAACTTGTCAAAACTGGACATCAATCAAAAGACAAGAACAACAAGTGGTTGGTTGAGCTGTTAGCTTGTTTTTGTTGTTATAATTCTTGTTGCTGTATTACGAGTATTAAGCATGTTGAAGTGTTGGTTGAAAAAGCAGAGAAACGACTTTTGCGGAGAAAAAAATACAAATAAAACAAAAATAAAATTTTAGTAAACAATTTTCTTTCCGCTGCGCTTGGGTTATGGTGCTTTTGTTGGCTTACTTTAGCAGCAAGTTATTGTAGATTTGACAGTTTTTTTTTTTGAATAGAAAATTGAAGAAGTTTGATTTAAAGGCCACTCTTAAAAAAAAATCTTTAAAGTACATAGAGATAGATAAACGAAAGAGTAAGCCAAGGAAAGCACAAGCAAATAATGAGGACCCAATGGTTGTGGAATTAGCCACTCAGTCCTAATCAACAAATTGTCCAACTTTTGACTGGAAAGACAGTTTCGGTAAATTTTTCTGTTCTAAATGATCATTGCCGCGCTGAAGTGATGCTTCTTGGTCAGTGACGTTGCGCCGAGTCAGTCGTGATTGTGGACTGAGCACAAAACGTGCTGGCTCTACATCAATAGGGACTCATAAAAAAAAAAGAATAATAATTGAAAAAGGAGTCTGAGCTCAGAAAGTTCGTATTAACTCTCCCCATGGATTTATCATGCAATATTAAGCTCTAAACACTTATTTAAGTTTTTTACGGAACAAATGCAGCATTTTTAAAATTTTTCTTAAGTTTCAAATAAAACTGGATTGCAAATAATTATCCTGAAAAGTTTCCTAATTTTTTTAAGGGTAACGAAATTTGTAAAATTTTAGTGTTTTTCAACCATGGACCCCTAAAAATTATTTAAAAAAATCTGTATACTCGCGTGGGCAGAAAATCCGCCAATACGTCAATATCTTAGGCCCGCCCATGTCCATCATATACGTCCCTCTACGCGTGAATGCACTCATGTCTTACAAATTCTGAACTACTTGACAAAAAATAATAAAAAAAACACTTTAAAAACTCAAATAAAATGCAAGAATCTCCAGCAAAAATGATTGATGACCCAACCGCAGACACACTAGCTCTGACGCAGGCACACATACCGGCATTTGATCGTTCAATTTGACCCAGTATTAGACATAATTAAAAATAATTTGTGGCATCCCGCATGCAAGATGGACAGAAGAAGCAGCGAGAGCAACAAGTAAACAGCAAAGATCACTTCAAAGCTGAAACAAACAAGAAGACGAGCAGGTGGAGTGNACAGAAGAAGCAGCGAGAGCAACAAGTAAACAGCAAAGATCACTTCAAAGTTGAAACAAACAAGAAGACGAGCAGGTGGAGTGTATGATCACTGAAAAGCCGGCACGCAATTACGCTCCACCAAAAAAAAAAATATGTACATTAGACCGTACCAACTGAAGAGCGAAACAAAAAAAAAAAAACGTTCGCTGTACACAACTGAGTCTAAAGTATTTTGGGCAATACAATTTCAAACATATTTTTGCAGCCTCTTTGGTGACNAAAAAAAAAAATATGTACATTAGCCCGTACCAACTGAAAAGCGAAACAAAAAAAAAAAGTTCGCTGTACACACCTGAGTCAAACATATTTTTGCAGCCGTTTTGGTGGCATTTTCGAATATAAAACTTTTTGCGGGTTAGTTGAGGTCAATGAAATTTTGCACAAAAAAAAAAAAAATGTTGTGAATTTTTGTTTTTCCAAATTGCCTTGCGAAAATTCTTTAGATTCAAGGATGTGCGGCGAATTTTTTTTCTGGTACTCCCTAATGTACATACTATACATACGTGTACCACAAATTCCACTTAAAGGTATTCAGTCTAACTTGAAAATTATGCAAGTACAGCGCTGGAAAGTACTGCCAGGTATTGTGGCTAAAACAACGGTAAAAATTGGGTGACTAATATGCCTGAAGTAAAAATATTTGAAATAGTTCTACAACTTTCATCTGTTCGCTATTCAAATTTCTTTTCACCAAAAAATATGTTTTCTTGCCTGCCACACATGCACACAGAGTTAGGCACATCGATCACTCGGTTTCACAAGCTATTAGAATAGTCATTCATCTTTGCAGTAAATCTTCCCCACAGAGAAAAGCAAATTTTATTGAGTCAGCCGACNAAAAATATTTGAAATAGTTCTACAACTTTCATCTGTTCGCTATTCAAATTTCTTTTCAACAAAAAAATATGTTTTCTTGTCGGCCACACATGCACACACAGTTAGGCACATCGATCACTAGGTTTCACAAGCTATTAGAATAGTCATTCATCTTTGCAGTAAATCTTCTCCACAGCGAAAAGCAAACTTTATTGAGTCAGCCGAGCGGACGCGTGTTTGGTTTTTTCTCTTTATTTCCTCTTCACTTTTTGACACCTTCTTCTTCGGCCCCCCTCGCCACGATGACCAAACAACAGGTAACGCGCTGCCAGTGGCTTCCTTTAATTGCTGCTGGTTAGTTTCATTTTTATTACGATTTTAATCAATATTTTCGGGAACTTTTCTGCTGCTGCAATTTTTCTTCAGCTCTCCAAGCGCTCTAATTTCGTTCTAATGAGTTTCAGAGCGCCGAGCTTGTATGCACTGCTGTTGAGCGCTAATTAAAAGTGGATTTAATTTTTTATGTATTTGTTTTTTTTTTGGTTATTGGATTTGATGGAATGTCGGGCGTTCGATGCGTAAAAGTAATACAAGAAAAACTTTAGCATTTATATATGTGAGAATTTTTATTGGTTTATTTACTTTTGAGCGCGTATTGAATCAATTGCCCAAAACGCAAAACTTCTGTTGAGTTAAGGTGCTTCAACTTCACGAGTTCGTTGCNAATGTATTTCTTTTTTTTTTTGGCTATTGGATTTGATGGAATCTCGCGCGTTCGATGCGTAAAAGTAATACAAGAAAAACTTTAGCATTTATATACGTGAGTCGGTTATTGGTTTATTCACTTTTGTATTGCGTATTGAATCAATTGACCAAAACGCCAAACTTCTGTTGAGTTAAGGTGCTTCAACTTCACGAGTTCGTTGTTTAAGTCTTTAGTATGAAAAGTGAGGAAAATTGCTCAGAATGTTCAGTAATTTTGTGAGAAAGTCATAAGTAGAGCTTAAATGGCGTTCAAAAGCCGTGCATGACATACTGTGATTCAGTGACCATAAGCCATTAGGGTGATAGAGCCACTATAGTGTTAAAAAAAGAAGCCGGTCCTATGAATAACCTCATAGTATTAAATGTCATATCCTAAAATACTTTGTGCTGTACAATAAAAAAAATTCCATGATATGTTTTGAGCAGAAACTAACCGGCAGATTTTGCATTTTCTTTTTCAGATATTCGTTAAGAGTAAAGGTAAGATTTATGTAAATGATTTTCAAAATTGCCGGAAAATCTCGCACTGTCGGAAGAAAAGCACGAATGTAGGCAAAAATTAACAAAAACTCCCCCAAAGACTCGAAATCAATCTTAAAAAATCCTTAAAGGTCCTGAAAATTTTTCAATAAGAAGAGACAAGTCGCGAAAACCCCCTGGAAAACCCCGGAATGTCCCGAAAATGTCCGGAATGGTCGCAAAAATCTCAAGAGCATCTGGAAAAACACTTCTTTAGTTGCCTGAAACCAGAAATTTGTGCCGGATAAAGCACGAAATAGCCCAAAAATTACCGAAGGGTGGCGAAAAAACATCCGAATGAAATGAATGAATGAAAAAAAGTTCAGAAAAACTCCCAAGAGGTCTAAAAAAAATTGTGAAACTCATCGAAGAGTGCAGAAATAATCTCGCGAAGATATCAAAATAAGTCAAAAAATCTATAAATAAAAACCCATATGATATTTTTTTCCATTTCCTGTGTTGATGAACCTCCATCGTTGTTCTAGAAAGCGTTTTTTTTTGTTCCGTGGCAGCCGAGGGCAGAGAAAGGGGACTGGTGTAGTAGAGATCCCATAGTAGGGCCGCGAAGTGCTGCGATTCATTCAGCTTATCCAAGGGCATCCCCCAGGCGGATAGCTTAAGATGACACGATCGATGGAAAGTAACAGTATTAAAGTTTTGCCATCACAGCTCTTACGAACAGCGCTTGGTCAAGAAGGTCCATCTTTTACTGTATTATGCTAAAATTCAACCCTGTCAAACTCCGGAGCGTACCACAAAATATGTTAATATCTATGAAGAAAAGCTCAGTCGTTTATGTTTTAATATCAAAGGGAAAACTGCCCTATAACTATGTCAACGCCCATATATGTATGTACATACAATTTAACAAATTTCACCGACAATGAAAGTGACAGAACAGCACTTAGAACCAGTTCTTAGATGACCGCTTAGGTGACCGAAAAATTTGAAGCTATGTTCAACATCAAAAAATGCGTAAAAACCAGACACCAAAAACGTAAAAAAAAATTAGTATCACATTACGAGTACAAATATAACCGCATAAAAAAGAAATTAAGTACTTGAGTAGCTGGTCTTAAAAATGGAATAATGTTCTTGAACGAAAATGTTGTATAAAAAATGCGTATACTACCAAAGTTTGCCTTAAAAAGTGTGTCACCCAGCAATGAATGCTTGGCAATGCACGAAAAATTATAAATGCCGCCGCTTGACGCATAAAATGTTCATTTGTTTACACTAATCGCGAGCTGAAAGGTTTAGCAAAAAAACGAAACTGCAAATATATAAAAGAAAAGGAAGTATGGACTCTACACACCAGCCAACATTGTCTATACTCTTACTCCTATGCTTGCTTCAATACACAGCGGCCATAATAAACCGTCCACGGTCCGCAGAAAACAGCTCCGGCAAGCAGCTGGACAGCAGCTATCTCAGCGATCAACGACCGCTGTGGATATTGCAGGATCAAGTGCCACAGAGCGACTACACTGAGATCATCTACACCACACAGAGTCCTTACAATTATCGAAAGCAGCAGGCGCAGGCGCAGGCTGGGCAACAACGACAACAGCAACAAGCACAAAAATCCCAGCGAACTGCAATGAACCTTAGGCAAGGTGATCAGCTAAGCCTAGTCGCCTATCGGCAGCCACAGCCTCTACCTGCACAGCAACAGCAGCCAGCGCGCGCACCACTTTTCGCCCGTCAAAAGCCACAACGCGCCATGCAACAACCACGCACGTACAATTACTCACCACATCTGCAAATCCCACGCCATTATATGCCGCTCCAGCGCCTCCAATTTCAACAGCGTCAGCGGTCACAGCTATCGCGAAAGCGTCCGCGTTTCATAGGCAGCAATGCAGTGGCGTCTCCGCGCCGGCGAGAGCACTATATTCCGCGCATCAGCATGCCCACCTTCGATAGTTTGCCAGGCGATGAGAGCGTAGACGAAGCGCCAGTCTTCGTTTACACGGGACCCAAAGGTAAACTGATAATGAACACCATACTAACCGCGCCCAAGTATCCGATGCAGGAGCCAGTGCCGGGACAGGTGCTCTACCCGCCCAGCGTGCCCATCTTTCGACCCAAGCCGATTGTGGAAAGTTTTCGCATGCCGGGCAGCACAGAAACTTTGAATCTCACGCTCATTCCTTTCTACGCGCATGAGGCCATTGACATACGACAGGCTGCACGCATGTTTGATCGCGGACAGCAAGCTTTAGAGCAGGAAGCGCCGACCACACAACCGACTGTGTTGTATGCAGCGCCTGCTGCAATGTCCCGTATTGCGGATTCTGAAGCCGCTGAATCGACGCCGTTGCCAGCAAAGAAGTTTCGTTCAAAGAAAGCGAAGCACTACTCCGCATACCATTCGCCCAACGAAGTCCAGTGGACACCAATGACTGCGGATCAGCTAAAGAACGTCGTATCGACGACAACACCTTACCCGCTGACGGCGCCAAGTCCGCCACAAAATCATCAGTTTGGTAGTGCGCTGAAGCAGACTCCCACGACTTCATCTGGCTTCGCAAACTACAGAGTCACTTATAAATCAGATACAGACAGCGTAGAGGATTCCATAGAGAAAGATGAGCTGCTAATTAACGGCGATCAGTTGGCGATCAACTACGTCGATGATAGTTTAGAGAAGCCAGCTAGCGCTCCTACAAAGTCTCCAATGTTGAGCTCGCGCTACTCGCTGTCCAAGGAGTATTATGCCTTTCCGGTATTCACGTTGGGAAAGCTATTGAAACCTGAAAGAGAAGAAATGGTGAAGTCGTTACCCACCTATATGGTGGAGAATACGGTAGATAGGCCGCTGGAGCATGACCAACAAATGACTGGTGAGCAGGCGATGACGGATAGTACCGGAGGAGAAAATGTTGGTGCGGAGGAGCATGGAGACGATNCCCCATTTCCCCTGCATCAGTTCAGTTGTTCAAAGTTAATAAAATTTTAGTTGGATGCACTTTTAACGATGCCATAAATGCCAAGCCGCCAATCGACTAATCGACTTACTTGGCACTCACATGTACATACATATGTACATAGGTTGCGCTTGCGTCAATGTATGAGTGCGTGCAGCCCTCCGCCGTGTGCTCTCGAGCCATCATTCCACGGGTTTTTTTTCGGCTGTGTCCGTAGATGTAGCTCTTCCCAAATCAATCTTGGCTGCGAATTGCCGCCAGTGGCGTTGAAGCTTCTTTTCTCATCGCTTTGCTTAATTTCCATTTCACAGCTCAGCCAATTCTTTTTGCTTTTTTCACCACCGCTTTGGTGTTGTTTTAATGTTCTTTAGCGTAGATTTATTGATTTCCATTGCGTGTTTGTTGCGTGCAGTCGTGCGTGTTGCATTTCGAAGCGGGCTTTTTTGTTTCTCTTCGCCTCGTTTTTTTTTCTTGTGAAAATTTTTGGGATTTCTTTTCCTGCTGCTAAGTTTACAATGTATGGTTGTTGTTGTTGTTCCTGTTGCTTTTTGTATTAGTTTAAGCATTGCACTCTCCTAATTTTAGTACCTCAATTAATTTTGTTAGAATTAAAATTTGAGCTCTTCTCAAACGCAGACCCTTCTCCGCAACAATTCTCTGTGGTTGGCTATAAAAAGGCCAAGCATCATTGGGAAATGTTTTAGAATTGTTGAATTATTGTAAACGGGCGGTTAAGTAACGGAGGTAACGTTGGATTTGTGGGCTGTAATGAAGTGAAAGGATTACGAAAAAGGACTAAGAAGGATTGCAGTGAAAGTGTTGGCTTTTATTAGATATGAAAGGATTAAAAATGAAAATTCTATCAGAGGACAGTTGCGGGAATTAAAGTTAAAATGATTTACTGAGTAAAAAAAACTTTGAAGTGCCACAAGGAAAAATATTTTCGCAACAGTATTATATATTGAGAAAAAACGCTATTACAAACCAAAAGACCATTTTTCACCTTAAGAATTTCAAGTTTACTTTGCAAAAGTTGGCGAAGATCTATTGAGTATCTAAAATGTTCATTGAAAAGCTGCTGAAATATGTGCTGGTGCGTGAATAATATGTAACAAGGGTTATAAATATGCATTAAGAAGTGAAAATTTTAATAAGAAAAATATTTACTTTTATTCAACCGCTTCTTCCTTCTAAAATTCCGCTATTTGTCGTGAAGTGAGAATGTAAAAAAATATATCCCAGGAAAAAACGCAAAAAAAAAATGTTAGAAAAGTTTATATATGAGGTGATTAAAAATTAGTGAACTGAGTAAACTGAACAAACTTAGTCAGTGCTGACTGTATAAAACTAAAAAAAACAAATTTTTGAAAAACCCAAAAAATACTGGAATATTTTTTTTGTATTAAAACCAAACTAAAAAAAACAGTGCTATATACATTAACTTAGAAAATAATTATTTATACAAAATTTTTAATAAAAAAATTATTTTATTTGAGTAGGAAAAAGTTATAAAATTTGTTGGACTTTGTTTTTATAAAAAAATTGTCCTTAAAAAGAAAAATCCTTTTAAAATCAGTTTAACAAAAGTTTAAAAATTACTAAAATTAAGTTTCAGAGGGCCATATATGCATATATGTACATAGTAAAAAAAATTAAATTGGAAAGTTAAAGTTGATAATTTTATCACATGTTCACACAATATTTGATAAGGAATATCAATCTATGTACATATAATACAAAAAAGTATATTAACATATACATAAATACAAATTTACCTTAAAACATTTATTTAAATAAAAGAGTTATTGACTTAAACAAGTAAATGGTGAAAACAAAAACAAGATCTATCGAAAGACGAAAAATTCCCAAAAATTCTCATACTGACACAATTTGAACATTAAATTTAATATAAAATTTAACTTTTATTTCTAATACAAATGTTATTTTTAACCTTCTTTCACTTCCAGTTCCTCTTTGCTGCCGCTCTTCCAACATACGCCTTTTGGTGGACGCCTCCATCCGCAACCACTACAACGTGAGTACGAAATTTTATTTATTTTGTTTAATTTTATTATTTGCTCTCTTTAATTTTTTATGACTTACTTCAATTTTTATTTTACTTAATTAAATTTTTCGTTTGTTTTTACTTTACTTTATTTTAAGTTTTAATTTTTTAAGTTTGATTTTTTGATTTATTTTATGTTATGTAATGTAATGTAATGTAATGTAATGTAATGTTATGTTATGTTCTGTAATGTTATGTTATGTTATGTTATGTTATGTTATGTTATGTTATGTTATGTTATGTTATTTTATTTTATTTTATTTTATTTTATTTTATTTTATTTTATTTTATTTTATTTTATTTTATTTTATTTTATTTTATTTTATTTTATTTTATTATATTTTATTTATTTGATTTTGTTTTACTTTATTGTATTTAATTTAATTTAATTAATTTGTTTTTTTTATTTTTCTCTTAATGTATTTTTGAATTTAATTTAATTCAGTTTTATTTTATTTGATTCTTTTCTTTTTTATATTTTTGATGCACATAATCCTCTAAATAAGAATTCCACTTATTAATGACGCAGTAATTCTGATTGTTCCAGTGAATCGCCTATGACTTTCAAGCAGATACCGCTAACCTACTTCCGAACCTACACCTACCAGCCGATTTCCGGCAATCCATTCGCTGCCTTTCCCTTCTACCATCATGCGGCGAGCGCGGCGATGCCGTCCCCTCTTCTAACGGGCACCGCGCGATACGAACACGCTACATACATGCCTGCCGGTGCGTATCCCATGAGTTTGGCGCTGCATCCTCAACTGCAACAACCACAGCTGTATCAACTGCCCCAGCAACCAGTGTTGCATGCGAAGCCACTGACAAGTCCCATCACGAGCATAATAAGCACCACGACCACCACAAAGCCACCGACGACGACCAGCACCACCACAACTACAACAACAACGACAACGCCGCCGCCGACGACGACGACAACAACCGCTAGCAGCACCACCAGGGCAACAACTAGCGCACCTGTATTGCCACTCGCTTCCGACGTACACAGCTTGCCTACCTATGGCAACGATGTCCCTAATTCTCACCCTCACTCGTATCCCTACCCCTATCCGACATACAATCGACGCGCCTACATGGGGTACAACTCGCACTACTACCGCGCCGCTTATCCATATCCGGATTATACGGTCTACAAGAGCTCGCCGGTGACACGCTTCAATAGTCAAGGTGGCCCGATAAAATTCGTTCCCTGCATGTGTCCGATGAGTGTTGGTAACAGCGGGGCGGGCGGAGAAAGTAATGCGGCACTTTTAGTGCAGGGGCGTACCGCAGATGGGGAAGACGATGGTGTGACGGTACTGGAGCGCACTGCGGATATGAATGTGTCTGATGATCACAAAGTAGTAGACGAAAAAGAGGGCGAACAGAAACGAGATAATGCGGTTGAAGGTAAACCGGCGGTGGAATCTAAAGTGGACGGACAGGTTGAAGCGGAGAACGTCTTAAATCCAAACTTGGTGCAAAAGACGGTGGCCACCGGCACAGCTCAACTGAGCACGAATAAGATTGAAGAGGAAGTGGTGCGCGCGAAGAGTGTGCCAGAAGGGCGGGACAGGAATAAAGGTTTGGTGGTCGCATAAATTTAACAGTTAATTTTAAAAGTTAAGTAATCCCAAAAATTTAAATAGTACCATGAAAAAATATACATACATATGTAAAAACAACAAGTTTAATTTTGAATAACTGTAGAATTTGAATTATATTTTATTAAAAGAATTAAAACACATTCTCCAATAATATTTTTTTACATTTTTTTCTTGTTATAAGGCCATAAATAAGAAAACCTCATGTTATTTTATTGTATTTAATTTAATTTAATTTAATTTAATTTTGTTTTATTTTATGTCATTTCATTTACATTTATTTTTCACAAGTCAAATATGCAAATTAACAGCTGCTGCAACCACCCTGCATTCTTGATTTTCAAAAACTCTGAATCACCTTGCAGCCGCCATACTCAACTTGTTTGACAGTCGAAACTAATTTAGTTGGCGTCCCTTAAGTTTCGCGATCAGTGCAAAGTGGATTTGTGTTTATTAGTAAAAATATGCTGTTTTTAGTGGAAATTGTGCAATAAATTAATGAAAAAGTGAATTAGTGTACACCGAAGTGCAAGTGCATAGTAGAATAACGAGTTCCGGCGCCGTGAAATTTATCAACACGGAATCGACGGTGATTAGCAAAAATTTCGATTAGAATGTTTTAAATTGAATAACGAAGCTAATTATCCTGTTCGTAACTTGATTATAATGATCGTAATTCGTCGTGTGTGAATTTTAAAACATATTAGCATATTTCCTGATCCGGCCGAAACTCAAGTAAAATTTTACGGGCATAGAAAGTCAAGCACGTGCCGTGAATAATGAACAAAATTAATGAATATTGAAGTTAATAAAAACATAAATACATACAGATGTGTGTACATTTGTACATATGAAAGTAATTTAAGGGGCACGAGCTTTAATATGACTACAAAAGTATGTACATATGGATGTAAAGAAGAAAATCACGCAAATGCCGGCCAGCCAGCACTTTTCTTGAGAATATTTTTTATGCTGTTACGAGCACAAAATTGTCAGTGCTTGATTGACATTGCTGGCCGCATAAATAATTTGACAGGTATTACCTAAACAAGCGCTTAAGAAAAGATAGCAATCTTTGGCCGAAGTTCTGCTACGAATACCGAAAACAAGGTAAGTCAGCGCATCATCTTCTATGTATGTACAGTAGGGTAGTCCAAAAAAAGTTTAAACTCTTAAGCGCCTAGCATTTTTTTAAGTGGCAAAAACAATACCCGTATTGTTAAAAAAATTATATTAAGAACTACTTCAAAGCGCATGAAGTTTTCAGTGTATTTTATATCGGGAAAAAACCTTTTACGTAGAAATGGCAATTGTTTATTTTACCATTTTTTATAAAAATGATTTTTATGGCAGGGCCCCATTGCATGTTTTGGGGTTTTTGGGGGACCTATGTATAAATAATAGTTAGCGTTAAAAAATGTTTCCTAAAGGGAAGAATTCTGTACCATTTCTAGGAAGAAGTGTTTTTCCCCATATACATAAAATGCATGGAAAACTTCGTTGGCTTTGAGGCGGTTCTAGATATATTTTTTTTAACAAAAAAATGCCGTATTTTTTTTGCTCATTTAGAAAAATCCTTGGTGGTGAGAGCTTAACATTTCAAACTCCCCCCTACCGGCACGCATTTTGGACCACCCTAATGTACAGTGAAATCTATACGTTAAACTGTAACTGAGAACTTGATAAACTGTTGCTTGAGACTTTTTGGGCGCCTTTTATATGTTTAATGAGGCAAATTAAAGCCAAACAAACAGACATCAGTCAAAGAATGGGAAGTAGATAATATTGAAGTGAATGTTTTAAATGAAGGGTGTCCAGCGTGCATGTATGTATGTACATAGGTGCGTGCGTGCAGGTTGAGCTGCAGAAGAAAACTTGTTCCAGCTTCATACTTCTTAAAATTTTTTTACTTTTAATTTATCTTAACTTTTTTAATTACAATTTGATTTTAATTTATTGTAATATTTTAAGTTTGTTTTTATTTTATTAACTTAATTTTATTTTATTTTGCTTTAAATTATTTTATTATATTATATTATATTATATTATATTATATTATATTATATTATATTATATTATATTATATTATATT